AACATGTTTCAACATTCCACTTCATTGTTCCCAATGCTTACTGTAGGTCTTGTTGACAGTGTGAGAAAATCAAGCAACATACATACTCTCATAACAAGACAGGACTTGTTCCGCTAAGTTTCCTTGTTTACTCCAGAGTAATATGTGGAATAAAAAATTTCCACTGAAGTTGGGGAAACCTAGAATGACCCTCTAAATGAAAGACTCTACTCTATGAGCTGCAGACCAGGGCAATATTAGCACACAGTTCAGTTAATGATTAAGCATAAAACTACCAGCAGACGTTGCTTTATTTATGCTGGACTGGCACATTGGAGAAAATAAGATGGTAGGGACTGCATGATATCCACCTGTTTGAAGCAGGTCTTTTGATAAGTTTAAAAAGTTTTGATAAGTTTAAAAAAACTCAAAGGGTTTGATTTGTGTAAAATGTGCAAATGATCAGAACTGATGATCTTTTTAAATAAATGCTCCAGAAAAGTGTTTTTAAGTGAAGCAGATTAGCATTGATGTCGATTTTTTAAACAATCATGACCGGTTAAAGGAGCTAAGGGGAAAAAGTCCACAACCCTGAAGATCACGTATGATCTTCTGCTTCACAGTAGGCATGAGCGATAATGGTCCCACAGTACTTTTCCTTCATGGAGCCTTCTCAGGGGAACTGATTGCTTTACTAAGAAGTAAATCTCTGTTGCATGGCTGTGTTTCTGCCTTCAAATCCTCATTCAGAGAAAAGCATGGATAACCAGCAGAGAATGAGATGCGGATTTATAAAACTTTTTCATTGCTGTTGACTCAAAAAAGGGACTGAAGGCTTTTAATGACCAATGTTTATACCAAAAATGAACTTTTAAATAAACTTTTAAGGTATATTTTGGCCCTTGAGCTTTATACCAGCCCTGAGGGACAGTTTTAAACAAGTCAATTGCTGCATTTAAACAATATGGATATACATACAGTAAATTTCAGAGGCTTTACTCCTGTTGAGGATTTTTAGATGTTGTCAAATTACAATCACAAACCTTTGGATTTTTGTGTGGCAGAACGACAACCTGGGGGAAGACTATGATAAAAAAGCTTCTCATTTTCTCTTGAGCTTCGTTAGGGATTGGACGGAGGACGTCTGTTAGTATCAGTGTTCATTCTTGTCTCTGATTCTGGGGGATCAGGCTCTGATTGGGCCATTATAACCATTTCTTTTAAGCTTTGGTTGTATTTTTACAGAAGTGGTCCACCTATTTATTATGTCTGCAGGTCCTCCAGAGCAACCATCTGTTCTTTGGTTGCTCCTCCCATTAATCCTCTTCCTGTCCAGCTTGTTAATTTAGGTGAAAAAACACTTCCTGGTCGGTTTTCAGCTGTAGTGCTTGTGTTAATGATTCGATAATATTTTAAATGCAGTTAAAAGCTTTAGAAATTGTTTTATAAGCTAACAAAGCTCTAAGCTTGAACCTAAATTGTCTTCTCTGTTATGTTAATTTATCTACTTGTAACTCTGAAGTGAAGTCCTAATCTAAGAAATTTCTGAATAAATCACATCTTCTATATCAGTTCTGCTGTTTAGAACACAGAACATGCCAGATTAGGACAGGATGTTGCATAATCCTGGAGATTTAATTGGCAAGTGTCCAGAAAAAAAGATAAGGACAGAAGGTCAGAGGTCGCACACTGCAGAGAGGAAATTAAAGCTGCTGGGTTTGTGTGTTTAGAGTAGGCTGGGAGTTTATCATATCGTTTATTGGTATCGGGATAACAATTTTTTAAATTATAATTTAGGATTAACTACGTTTTAAAAGCTACAAAAATATTGAACTTTAGTTACTTTGTGCCTTCTTAGTGAAAAAAAATCAAATACTTGTGCTTTTCAAATTTTTATTTCTAGATATATGTATATATTTTTTTATTTCTTTTTACAAAACATGTTTCTTGTTTGCAACAATAATGGAACAAAATTCACTGCATATTTTTCAATGAGGCTTTGATTTCTGAGACCTGCAGTGACAGGCAGATGTTTACCTTAGAAAGACAGTAAAGAGGTAATAAAGACTTTGACACTTGTATCTTTATCACCCTACTGCCCCATAATCTGCTGATAAGATTCAAAGTCCTTATTATTTGGAGGTACAGTAGTAGCCAGTCAAAATTTCCACACTCTCCTTGGCTGGTGCTTGGCTGGTCCTCGGTTTTTCCCTTGGCTGGTCCTTGGTTGGCTCTTGGCTGGTCCTTGGTTGGTCCTTGGTTGGCTCTTGGCTGGTCCCTGGCTGG